CAATCAGGAGCTCGGCCCGGCAGGGCACCCCTGTCACATGACGCCGGAGGGGCGGGTTGCCGGGAAAAACCGGGAAGAGGGGGCGGAGCGTGGGCGGGGGCCGTGTCTGATCCCCATCCCCACGCACTTCGTAGTGGATGTTCGTTTACGAAAGTTTTCACGTCCAGCCTTTTGTCCGGTCTCACAAGTACGCGGTTGGCCCTGAAGTGTCTGTATGCCCGTTTTACAGTTTAAGTTCACTGAAACTTTGCAGGGGGCTACGGGAACAGAGGGCATCGTTTTAGGAGGGGGTTTGTATCGACTTCTTGTTTTATGAATGACCTACCCATCTGAATTTCTTAATTCACTGAGAGACTGACCTTGCCTTCAGTCGTTCGTTCATCCAACTAATATTCATTGCGCACGTATGCCCCAGATAGCGGGATCGATCGGACTGCGTGCATCTTTACGAGAGGGAAGACCTCTACACAACTGTGCAAACACTACTAGAAGCGCTTGACAAACGAGCCCTCATAACACGTGGGCTTGAGGTTTTCTTGTGCTCCCTAATCCTATTAATCGTAACAGCGACCTTTTACTGTTGCACGTATACTATGTGGTGGCCTTATCACCTCAGTTAGCCCTACAAGCACATGCAATGGTAATATACCAATTTTCAGATGGGGAAATTAAGGCTCAGAGGAGTTAAGTTGCTTGAGTAAGGACAGGCAGTTAGTAAATGACCCAACCGTCACAGCCTGTGGTTCCAGACTGCTCTTCATACTTCTGAGCACAGGACAGAAATCTGATTGCAGTAAGTATAAGGGAGTGGAGGATTAGGGAATGGGAATGCTTAGCCAGATTCCTTCAGGTTGCCAGTTTTGTGTTAGGAGTAAATGACTTTGAAAACGTGGTTCCTCTTTGCACAGATCTAAGGAGGTAATATAATGTCAATGTCAAAACTACAGACTATGGAATCTAAAGACTTCTGTAGATCACAAGCTTCCAGAGAGCAGGTACGAGCTGTGTTTATCCTCTACCTTTCATGCCTAGCACATAGGCAGTCATTAAATACTGGTTTAATAACAACCTAGATTTGAGTCCTTGCTCTACCACTTGTGAACTAGTACACATTATTTGATCTCTGTGAGATTCTTCTGTAAGTACTTCAAGGGGTCGATGTGAGAATTGAGTGAAAAATTTTATAAAGCACTTACCATAGTGCTTTGCATATAGTGCGCAATTAATGGATGGTAGTGTTATTAGATTGTTTCAAGGACATAGAAGATCTGCTGTAGACAAAATAGCACGTAAAGATAACTCTAGACTTTAGAAGCTTAACAGCCACTCAAATAATACTTTTGTACACAATATTAATAGAGATGCATATGTAGATACCTAAGAGGAAAGTAAATCTTACCTCTATATCCTTCAAAATGCCATAGGGTCTCAATATCCAATGAAGTAGCATTTTTTTTCTTTTTTAAATCTAACTATACATTCTAACTTTCCATATCAACTGGAGTTTAAAATTGAAACCCTAATAGAAAAACTAGCTTGGGAAGTTTGAGCCACATTCCTCTCACTCATTCAATGAAATTCATGCATTAAATCTCGTGGAATACATCACACACTACCCTCTCTTGTAATACTATTTTTGGAAAAATTCCAGCAGATGGTTAGCTCTTCCATTGTTACACTGTTCTCTGGACACAGGCATTTTCACCGCCTCTACTTGGCAACTTTTCTTGGGGTCAAGGAGCAGCCCGATTCTTCTAGCACAAGGCTCTGCCCATTGAAGGCGCTTACTAGTGAATTACATTGGATTCCCGCCTTTGCATCTTCCGTTGTCTTGGAAAGGATGGAGTTTTGGCTAACGCAGACCTTTCCATCAAGGTTTGTTAATGACTATATCCAGCTCTGAAGTGAATGAAACCACTGACTGCTAATTGATTTGTGTTTCTCTGGGTTTTAGCCTGCCAGATTGTGCCACAGTCAAAGTTGGCAGGAAGTTGGGACGCTGGAATAGCAGTGGCTTGAGGTTCAGAAGGCTCTTCTTGTTCTAGCCACAAAGTAGTAACCAACCACCATCGCCACTTCCAAAGTGCTTAACCTTGCTCCTGCGGAATCATTTACATACTGGGATAGGCTGAGTCAGAAAAAATGCTTTACACAAATATGAGAAAAATGGGGAAACAAAGCAATACCTAGGACTTCATTGAATTCTAAAAAGTAAATTATCTCTTTTCTGATTAGGTAACAAATACCCAACACAAAATTCAAAAGGTAAAAAAGGTATTTAATGAATATTAAATCTCCCTCCCACCCATGCTCCCCTTCTCAGAAGCAACCATTACCCACTCTCTGGGTGTCTTTCCAGAGATATTCGTTGTATATGCAGACATTTCACGCACTTTACACCTTGACATATTTGGAACACCGTTCTTGGACCCAAAGACCCCAATTTGAGCTCCACCAACTATGAGATCCGGGGTGACAGACTAGAACACCTCTCTGGGTTCCAATTTCTTCACCCGCAGATCTGGACTAGAACTGAATGTTCTCTATAACCTTTCTAACTTTAACACTGAGCTTCTGAAAAGATGAAAGCAGTTGCCACGGGTCCTGACATTCCTTATGACCTCAAGTTTGCATTTCATGTGTGTAATTCTTCATTAGAGCACAGATTGAGCCCTGCCTGCCGATCATATACATGGTTTCTAAATGAGTATTATCCTTTTCAATCTAAGTGTTTTCTTTCTAGACCCTGCTGGACCTGTGTGATGTTAGGATTTCACAGCTTCAGAAGTGAGATGAATTAACTCGAAGCTGGAAGATCTCCAGGAAAAGCTGTGTCCTTTTGACACTTTTAAAACCGATTTCTTCCTGAGAAGACCGGAGCATTGCTGAGGGGGAATCTAAAAGACATACGAATTGATGGTTGGTAGTTGGCACCCATCCCTCATTCATCTCTCCTAAAAGATATTCTTTGGCGGGGAAAGAAAGATCAGTTCTTCCCATTGCCTTAACCTCTCAAGAGGTTGCAGTGTTCTTTATGTGACAGCTCTGAGCTTCTCCCAGAGAGCACGAAGTTCAGTCCCAAATGCCCTTCCCTAGTTTATCATTTACTTATTAACTCGATCCCTCACTCTCCATACCCAGAGCCAGGCCTACCATGGGATAGGAGCTTAATAAACACCTGTGATCTGAATGCACAGATTAAAATCCAAAACCTATTCATCCTCTATGGCTCAAGACCCCACATCTTTTATGAAATTTATTGCTACCACGGCTATTTCTGCCCTTATAAATCTCCTGTCCCCTGCCACCCAACTAGCACCTACTGTACTCATTGCTTTGTATTATTCACATCATGTGGGTTGATATTATTTCCTCAATTAAATCAAGTTGCCTAAACATTAATAAATCCTTGAATTAAGAAGAATGTGAGGCACATTGTTAGACGACACTTTCAAGTCCGTATTTAGTGATGACGAGGGGAAGGGTAGGGAGAGAAATAAAGAAACTGACCTCCGTTGAGTGCCTAACATGTACATGATGACACAGCCCTTGCCCTGAAGGAACCCAGGACCCAGTGAGGCAGACTGACATGGAAAGCCGACACTACAACAAGAGAGTCTGTAAGAGGTAGTTGGTGAGAACATGATACATGTGGTTTCAGGGCCACTTTCTTGCTAACTTATTTGGTGAGTTACTAATCTCTCTGTTCCTTGATTTCTCATAACCTGCATCACAGGTTGATTTTGAGGATTAAATGCAGGACCTGATGCATATTAGGTGCTCCACAGTGTTGGTCTTCCCTCCCCCCTCCCCCTTCCAGTGGGGAATGTGACTGGAAGCTTCTGAGAACAGAAGCAGCAGCAGAGAAGGGAAAGCAGCCTGGCAAGAGAAGGCAGCAAGCAACTCAGACCGTTTTTACGATTCCATTATCTTCCAGCAGCATGCTTGTCAAAATTGTTTTGTCTGTTTCGCTAAGACTGAAAACTTCTAGGACAACTAATAGTTCCTGTGGGTTTTTGTTTTTCGTTTTCGTTTTGTGTTTGTCAGCACTGAGCTGAACATACACTGTTAGTATCAGCAACTCTAACTGATAGCAAACCAGGAAGCCAGGGAGTGAGAACAATCTGGCATTTGTTACAGGAAAGCCTGTAACCAAAGGACAGGTACAATAAGACATTCTCGTTGGTGAGCCCAGAACTAGGACGATAAAAACAGAAAGTGAAGGAACAGATTGATAAGAAGCAGGAACCACGACCTGTAGCCATGATAAGTTTGTTGAACTACAAACAGACACACACTCCAAAGAACCCAATCTGGTCT